GTTTCAGTTTTAAATTTGGGGCTAGCCTACTGCTGTGCCAGAAGTTTTTTTCTTCATTCTGATTGGTTGGGAGTTCTGGTCTGTGTTTATTGGTCTTGGAGTTTGCTGTGTTCTGCTTGATTGGTGTTTCTAATATCTTCTGTCTGTTTTGTGGCTTTTTTTGTCTTGATTGGCTGGCCAATCAAAAAATCAAAACACAGACCAGGACTCCCAACCAATCAGGATGAAGAAAAAAACATTCTGGCACAGCAGTAGGCTAGCCCCAAATTTAAAACTGAAACAACTGTAAAAGTCTGACTCACAGACGAACTCAATACAGAAGCCTGATGATGGCAGATGAGAATCTGCCGAAACGTTGTTACAACTTTAAAAGCACAACTATAATGACGTGGGAAAATACCGGAACAAAGCTGAATAACACACACACACACACACACACACACACACACACACACAAAACACCTAGGAATGATTTGTGAGTGGAGGAAAAGTATGATGTTATTCCATTGGTTTTGTCCCCGGTTCAAATCCATTTCAACTTGTGTCTACATTTTATTCTGTCTCTGTTTTCAGGGAAAGAGGAGAGGGAGAAATTATTCAGTTGCATTACTTTATTTAGGCAATGGAGCAAAACTATCAGCTTGGACCTGCGCAGTGTATTGATATGAAGAACAGGAGCTTGAAAATGCAAAATTCTTAAATGTTAAACTTACAAAATGCCAATCAAAATATTATTAAAATTTAAAATCTAATAAAAATTATGATTATCTTTTAAAATAATCTTTTACCTCTTAATTTGAAAGAAAGAAAAAATAACTTGCAACAGACTGCAGATAAAATAGCAGTGCTAATTGCACCTATTTATTTCTGGCTCTTCTCTGCCTTGTTAAAGCTATGAAACGAAGGATCATGTCTGCAAGCAGCCAAAAGTATATTCTCAGGTCTGGAGTTGATGTGTTTGTGAATCTCTATAGTATTTTTTTATTGTTATGGTTGTTCTGTGGCCATGGCTTTCATGTTTTGCTGTTCTTAATTGTTTTAGTTGTATATTTGATACATTGCAAACTACCCATTTTCTTTTTGGAGAAAATAATAAATAATAATAAACCTATAGTTAACTTTTTGAACTTTGCTAACAGCAAAGGTTTTTGTTTTTAGCCCAAGTCAATCCATTTTAGGATGAAGGACTCTTGACTGAAGATTATAAACTATCATGCTGATTTGGTGTAAGTTGGAAGACAGATTTTTTAAAAAATTTGTCAGAGTGACTGAGCAATATACCGAAATAAAAATGGTACTTGGTCCCATTGTCATATGATGTAGTGAACATGTAGTTCACACATCTCATAGATTTTAATAATATTAGAATATTGCTGTTGAATAAAATTTGAGCCTTTCTGTTACCTTATTTGCAGATACTACTTTTTTGTCTATATGTTAATTTCAGAATGGTAATTCCCAATTGGTTTGGTTCAGTGTTGAAACGCAATCTTCAGGTTGCTGGCTGTAGTCCAGTAATCAAGACAGTTTAAGAAAACCTTTTGTTTTTTGTTCTCTAAAAATAACACTAAAAAGTACACCACACTTAATTGCAACTGTAATCAATGTCAAAACCCTTTTTGTTAGGGCTGTTCATTAAGTTCTTAGAATATAAAATCAAACCTATCTAGGAACCATTTTGCATGATTCATGGAATTTGTAGTAGAAAATGCTAGCTAGCTAAACCTTGGAATGATACACTTGTATACACTTGTAGGTGTGGGTGTGACTGTTCAGGGGAAAGAACTACAAGCCAGATTGGAAAATCATAAAAAGAATCTAGAAGGCGTGACAAACCACTTTTCTACCATGTCAACAAAACTGCATGGATATGTCCATGTAACTCACCAGATTTAGAGCAATCATGTGCAGCCTTCTGCACATGATTTGGTCATGCAGAGAGACTGCAATCAGTCCAAACTAATCTTGTAAAATTAGTTTTGGCGGAAAAATAGAGATGGAAGAGAAATATTGTCTAGAATATGAAGTAGGGTGCATTGTGTACTGCTAAACAGAAGTGCGTATTGTAATAGTAAGCTAACTTGCTAACATAGTTGGGCCCTGTGTGTGTGTACATAACTCTATTTTATCTTCAGAAAAAAACTTCCTAAGGAAGAGGCTGCATGTACAGGTAATATCGACTTAGAACCACAATTGAGTCCAAAATTTGTTGCTAAGTGTGACAGTTCTTAAGTGAGTTTTGCCCCACTTTATGACCTTTCTTGCACACTTATCATGTGAATCACAGCAGTTGTTAAGTCAGTAACAAAGTTATAAAGTGAATCTGGCTTCCCCATTGATTTTTATGGTCAGAAGATCGCAAAAAGTGATCACATGACCTTGGAACCCTGCAATCATAAATACGAGCCAGTTGCCAAGTGATCAAATTTTGATCATGTGACCACGGGATGCCTCAACAATTATAAATGCGAAAAGTGGCCACTTTCCAATGCCATTGTAACTTCGAACGGTCACTAAATGTAAGATTTGTAAGTCAAGAACTACCTGTATGTATTACCTTATAGAAAACAATGACAGGCAGATAATCGTATTTCCAGGAGACAGGAAGACTAACTAAATTTCAATCTGTGGACTAAAAGTGAGGAAAATTGAACTCGGAGCTCCTTTTGTGTGCTCCTTTATGACTAATGTATTCTGGCCCCATTCTCCAATGAAATTCATCTTTGGAAGAGATACTTTACTTCTTCCTTTTTATTTGTGATCTTTCCCATGTTATGTTGAAGAATTCTAACATCACAATTTGGGATTTGACAGATAATGGATAATAGTTTATTCTGTACTATCTCCTGTATTTCATGTTTAGCACAAAGTAGTGGTTATTTTTTTTCCAAATAAGAGCCTGGCATAATATTTTGATAGGATAAAATTGCTTATTCATAGCTTCCAATGCATAATTGATTATGAATTTTGTATTTCAGTTTCTTAGTAAAGCTGGAAATTCAGCTGAAAATTGAGAATTCAGCTACATATGTAGGAAGAGCAGATCTATTTCATAGAAGTTAAAATAGGTTTAAAAGGTCCTCTGCATGAAATTGATTTACAATTTAGGGAAAATAAGAATAAAATGTGTTTCTCTGTTCTATACTAAAGGAAGTAAGATCTACAAGTAAAAACACTGAAGATTTGCCTAATGATAATCTTTACTCTGTTCTTATTTAAAGAATACTAATAAATATAGCTACTAGTACATTTTTGAAGTAGTACAATGATATTGGCTTAATTGGTTGTACATACAGTATACTTACATCAAAAACTAACTTAAGTCTTCAAAGAATTCTAAATACTTTTTATAGGGGTGCTATGCTTGTGAGAAAAAGGAAGTATTTTGTTTTTAAGTTGCCATTTTTCTTTGGGCATGGTTATGTGGATTGGTGTCCATATTACCAGTTCCATGGGATGTGTCCTGAGATGATTTATGCATATGCAAGCATCTATCCATAGGTGTAGCAGAGAAATCAAAGGAAATAAATTAGGAAAAAAAACGTATATCATGATACTATTACAAGATATCATCTTAAAGTAATATTTATAATATTCTGATATTGATAATATAGTACTTGTACTGAAGTGTAATAACAAGGCACACATGGGAGAAATGAACAATGATTAAGTTAATTCAACTATTCCTCACTATATTCTGTCATTTCTTCCATTGTTAAAGAATAACTATCTTGAACAATATGTATTTTCGAGATATTGGAATCTGTCAGGACCTGATTCTGGAAAAGCATAAAGGAATTCAGTATATAAATAACATTTCCTTTAAATGAATTATCCTGCTTACTGTAAGATTGTTTCAGCTTTTGGGGGGAAACAGGAGTAGCAGGATAATTCCTTACTAATGTAGTTTAATATAGAGAAGTTGATTTTGTGATGAGTTCTTGAAAGAATCTAATTTAAATAGCTGTCACAAACCTCACTATGCTTTCAGTGTTTACTTTGGTTCATATCTGGGGACCAGTGCTAGTTTATATATATTTTCTATAATTTTTCTGTCTCGTTTTCCCCTGTTGGTAGGATCCTTCTGTTACACAAGTGACTAGAAATGTTCCACCAGGATTAGATGAGTACAATCCTTTCTCAGACTCCAGAACAGTAAGCATTTTTATCTTAAATGGAATTTTTAATCTGCAAAATTTGTATGTGTTACTTTGAATTCATTATATTTTCACAGACCAAGCTCTATTTGTATTTTAAGAAATAATATTTGAAGCAGACTATTTTAAAAACAAAGTGTAATTTTATAGTGTGATGGGACATAATACAACTGTATTGTAAAGCTTAGCAGATAGACATCACTAGTACTTCCATACATAGTTTATGAAATGCATAAAGTATCCAGAAATTTATTGTAATGCTTCACATATATCTTGAAGTTCTGTATAATGTAAGATATCTTCAAAGGTCTCTGAGGAGTGCCTCAAAAATAATTTTGATTTTTTTTTAATTTACTAGCCACCACCAGGAAATGTCAAAATTCCTAATGTGCCCAGTACACAACCTGCTATAATGAAACCAACCGAGGAACCACCCGCTTATACTCAGATTGCAAAGGTAGATTTGGAATTATTTATAACAGAATCTCAGTAATGAAAGTTAATATTTTTATGCAGACCATTTTTACTGCTTATTTCTGCATTTATTTTTCCTTAGGAGCATGCCTTGGCCCAGGCTGAACTGCTTAAGCGACAGGAAGAATTAGAGCGAAAAGCAGCTGAACTTGATCGCAGGGAAAGAGAGATGCAGAGTCTCAATCAACAGGGAGGTATGTTGGTGTATCTTAAGGCAGTGTGCTGTGGTGGTCCTCAAAGCTGACATTGCAATGGGAAAAAATAATTTGGCGCTAACGTATTATTGTCTGAAATTTGTCAATCTTCGTTACAGTAGGTGGCAGCACTTAGCCAGTCTTGATTGATCATAGAAAAGCTAGAAGATGCCAATAATAATTCAGTAGAGACCATAGGGAAATTTCCAGACTCTAGGCCAGGTTTAGAAAGCAAAGCTGCCCTAAATCACTTTCCCTCTAGTTGCCAAGAGTACAATGTACCTGGAAGTGAACTGAATTTGAAGAAGACTTCATCAGTCTTCCCCTAGAAGTGCAAGTGACAAATGACACAGTTTTAAACTATTGTTCCTCACGTCAGTGGTTTCCCTGGGGGTAGAAATAATTGTTAAGAGAGACAAAAGAATTTCCTGACAAATGATTGGGGAAAGGCCATTGTTACAACATTTTCAGCATTTAGCCACTTCAGCTTTATTAAGGAACTTATTATAATTATTCAGTTTAGGCATTGGAATTTTGTGTATTTTAAGAAATGGATTATTTTATTTTTTAATTACATTATTTTCATAATTAAGCATATGTGGTGGTCTTTTTTCTCATCGAAAGCCATCATCACTTTCTGGGAGAACCTGTAGAAGATGAATACAAAGGCATAGCAAGGCCACCGCTAGTGACATTTTTTTCCTCATACTCCCATACATATACAACATTAATTGTGACATAGGAGACTATTTTGGTGAGATTCACAGTGTGTAGAGTGAATTAGCTCTTGTCTTTTGAGTTCCAATGCAGTAATTAGACTGAAGAAAGCTTACATTGGCAGTAATGGCTTTTCTAAAAGGAAATTGCTATGTAGAGTTGAAGCCACAGACTGGAGATGCCACCTACTTTATGTGAAGACTCTTTTAATGAATGCAGTTCTGAATGAAAATAAATAATGCCTGACTTCTGTTAATTCAGGGGCACAATATTTGTAGGACTTCAGAGCTTTTTTCAGTCAGTTACCATTCTCTATGGGAGATTAAGCACATGTTTGTATGTGCACGTTGTTGGAATGCATCTGCTTAATCAGTAGACAATCCATAAACTTTTCTTCAGAAATTATAAAATAGAAAATGTGAAGTGACCCTTATTGTGTATCAAAGCATTTGCCTTTTGCTCTTGCAGGAAGAAAGAACAATTGGCCTCCACTGCCAGGAAATTTCCCAGTGGGCCCATGTTTTTACCAGGATTTCTCAGTAGACATCCCTGTAGAGTTCCAGAAAACAGTAAAGATTATGTACTATTTGTGGATGTGTAAGTAATACCTATGGAACATATTTTATAATCTTGAATTATATTTAGATAATGTTTCAATGACAGAATATTTTCATAAGCAAAAGTTATTGAAAATTAAGCTTGTGTGCAATTCAATCACCACTTTGCTACCTGTCTGGCATAACTTTTTATGAAGGACCAGAAGACGTTGGAAGGTCCTGGAACTAGTTGTACTCCATAGTTTCAAGGAATATATATATATTGCAAAATCAAATTTGGGTCGGTCACTGCGACCAGAGATTTACTTTTCTGAGCTTTCAGACTCATGCTGGAGCCCATCTTCAGGGAACTTGTCTCTACTGGAATAGGTGCTTTGGGTTGTTCTGTTGTGTTTATGTGGTGCCTTCCTGTTGGCTGATTGGTGTATGGATGGATGGCGACTGGCTGTTGTTTCCTTGTGCTACTAAGACCTCAGCTCCTAAATATTTGATAAGCTAGTGATAAATCAGCACTCCTGTTAACTGACAACAGGCCCGTTTCCAAGGCTTCAATCATTTCCCAGGCCATCTTTCTACCTGTATAGCCAATAATCTTAGTAGCTACAAAATTAAATGTATGTCCCTGTTCATTGCAGTGTGAGGCTGCCAATGAATTTGGGTCTCCCCTCTGACTGCTCACCTGTGTTCTTGCAACCTGGTAGTTAGTTTCTTCACCATTTGTCCTACATAGTCAGAAGATGAAGCTCCAGCATGAGTCTGAAAGCTCGGAAGAGTAAATCTCTGGTCCTGGTGACCGATCCAAATTTGATTTTGCATCATTATTCTAGGACACAAATATTGGCCCTCATTCATAATAGATATATTGTACAGGTTTACTTCATCTGCAAGTGAAGAGTCCTATATGAAGCAACTTACAACAATAAAAAGGGGAAAAAATGAATAATGTAAACAGAAATAAAATAATAGAACAATAAAACAAACAAAATGAAAAAGAACACAATGAGAAAGACTTTTAATGAAGTAGGAAACAGTTTCCATAAATATCTTCCTAATTTATTCCTATAGAAATTCTGTTTTTCATAATAAATTTTGCATAATAGCAGGTAAATAAAAAGCAATTTTATCTTTCACCCATTTTCTTTCATTCCCATTTTCTTGTATTATAAAAATATCAATTTGTTCCTCCTTTCTTCCTGGAATAGTTCATCTGAACTATATTGAATACCCTTAGACTAACAGATATTTGACTCAGTTGTCACAAACATATCTCCTTGATATCACTGACTCTTTCCAGGTTTGTAAACATGTTTAAAAAATAATAAAAAGATAATTGGTGATGTATTCCCAGATACCTTCTACTTACGGCATTTTCACAAGGCTATCAACAATCATTTGCTAGATTTAACATGGTCATGAAAAGTTTAAGCAATAAAATATATTTGCAGCAAAGTATTTTCTTTGTATTTAATACTGTTTGCTCACTTATATTAGTAACTATTAATGAACACTACTATATGCTCATTTCTGCTACTTATTGTATATTCTCCAATTTCCATACTGGAAAAGCGTCTTCTGATATTACTGTGTTTTAAAATATACAAGTGGATTTGTGGCAGTTGAAGCTTGGTTAGCTGTTATGTAATAAAGTTCATGGAATTAGGCTATATTATAACATACTATGCACATAGTCCCTTGACATTAAACTAAATGAACTAAGATCTAAAGAAAGATTTACTTAAGCTTTTGGCACTATAACATGAGTGAGGGATATTGATTTTATGCCTTTTGCAAGATGACATTTTTAGACATAAACATACGTTATATACCCACATATTTATGTTTATATATTCTATTTAATTATTAAATTTCTCCTATTTCTTCCAGCAACAATATTGGAACATTTTTAAAACTGCTGTTAAAACTGCTTTATAGGGTGGTTCAAACTAGCTAGCTAGTTCAAATTGCTAGTTGAAGATGACGGTAGCGGTGGGTGGTGGTAATAATAATTTCCTACCTGGATTTTTGTTTTCTCTATTATCTTGACATTTACTTTTCTAAGCAGCTGATTGTAAAAAATATTTAGTTATCTAAAACTAGTATTCCATTTATTTATAAATACTTAACTGGTGTATTCTGCCCAGCATTTCATCAAGATATAATTGGAGAACAACTGACTATATATAGTTTTAATAAATTATTGGGTATTTAGATGCACAAAATATACCTTACTGGGTAATTAGATAACATTTTAAACTGTTCCATTTAACCAGTAATAACTGATTTTGCATAATTATCTGCTGAGAGAATAAAGGGGACTTGAAAAAGAAACTTCTTTAATATAGGCCAAGGTTGTAGAACATGTAGCCTGCCAATTGTTAAACTACAAGTCTTAGCAGCTTCAGCCATCAATAAGGGATGACGAAAATATAGTTCCCCAATATTGTAAGCATACACTGTAGAATGTTTCCCTTCCTTAATGTATCATACTGCTACCACTGTGAGTAATAACAGACACACAAACTGTTACTACAGTAAATTTTAATAATCTGTGGGAGAAGAGCAGGCTGAGCTGGAAAATAGGGTTTAGAGCAAGGGTGTCAAACTCAATTTCATTAAAGGACGCATCAGGGATATGTTTGACCTGGAGGGGTGGACGTGGCATGGGGGGGGTGTAGCTATATCGGGGGCTTGTGGTGGTCCGAGCACTCATAGCCCTCCCGAGCTCCATTTTCACTGGCAGAGGGTTGCAGGAAGCCGTCGCAGCCAAAAACAGAGCTTGGCAGGGCTGCACGCAACCTTACCGAGCTCTGTTTTCACTGGCAGAAGCATCGTGAGCTGGTCCTTCACTGTTTCCAGGGCAGCCCTGTGGGCCAGATCTAAGCACCCCTCGGCCTTGAGTTTAACGCCCCTGGATTAGAGTCATTGCATTTCCAGAAGAAACCTAAATCCAGCCCCTGTAAATTCTATTAACTCTTTTCTAGTTCCAGTTTAGCTTTGACTATTAACTTGACTGGATTCTTGTATAGAGGTGAAAATAATAAACTCTTCTGTACTTTAAACTTAATGTTCCTGGTGATTTGTGCCTGACATTTTCAAGATTTTCATTCTACAGATTTGAAATGCTCCATGCTATATATGCAATATATGTGTCAAAGCCTAACCAGAATCCTCTACCAATTTTGTACTTAATGTAGAATTCTACTACCAATATTTCTAAATTCATACATGAATACTTTCGTATAAAGTATATGTACAAATAATCACAATTTTGTATGTAACTTAACTTTTTTTTAACTAATAAGAACTTGGAAATGACAAGCAGTATATAATTTGATATAAGTAATTGTAGGGTATTGTACTATTCCTGTATGTATTTACTGGCCCAGCTTTCAGATAATTAAATAGTATCTACAAAAATCTGTACACCCTGTAATTATTGTAGAAACATCAGCTGTTAAAGCAAGTATCACTGCTTGCTTCTCTACTAGGAAATTTGGCAATATATACGGTTAATGTTTATTTCAGAAGTAAAAACTTTATTCCTATCATACTTTCATGAACACATAAATTGTTATAATCCAGGACTAATATTGAAAAGGTCAAGTTTCATTTTAGTCTTTTTTTCCAAAATTATATAATTGGAACGATTATAAATATAATATTTGGCAATTACGAATAGATGCAGATTGGTCAGGAGATTAATCATTTATAGTGATTAAGATAATTACAGATAGTCCTTGTCTTATGAACTCAATTGAACCCAAAATTTCCATTGCTGAGCAAGACAGTTAAGTTTTAAATTTTACCACATTTTATGACTTTTCTTGCCACAGTTGTTAAGTGAATCTAGCTTCCCCATTGACTTTTCTTGTCAAAAGACAAAAGCTGATCACATGACCAAAGTTCTCTGCAATTGTCATAAATATGAGCCAATGGTCAAGTATCTGAATTTTGGTCACATGACCACAGAGATGCTGCAGTGGTGAAAAATGGTCCCAGATCTTTTTTTTTTGTGCCATTGCAGTTTCTAACGGTTACTGAGCAAATGGTTGCAAGTTAAGGACTACCTGTACTGAAAATTATTCTCACTCTCAGCATTGTTTTTAAAATAAAAAATTTCTAATTGGTATTATTTATATATGAAGAGATTCTAAGCAGGCATACTTTTTTAAAAATGCTGTATACAAGAGCTCTTCCCCCTGAAAAACATAATTGAATGATATGGAAGAATAAAACGAGACTATTGTTAAGGAAATTGCCATGAAAAACCTGCTACCTTAAGATAGAAAGATGAGTGGGAAAAGCATCCATCGTCCTTTAAAATAATTTCTGAGGCTGATTCAAGAAGCTGAATATGTTACTGTAGTACTTTGCTCTGAGGTAGAAAATAATTGGCCATGTTCTTCATCTATCAACACATATATATGTGGACCATAATGTATATAGAATACTATAGGAGAGAATCCAGAATTGGATTTTTAGGAATGGCTCCTTTTGATGCGTTTCTAATTTAGTGGGCATTTCTGATACAGTAGAGATTGCTATCTCCTTCTGCAGCTGCATGTGATCCCCTCCAATAATTTACTTCATAGCATGAGAGTAACAGCACTAGGAACTATATGGGAAAATGGGGGGGGGGGGAATCACACATTTTTCCAGTGTTGCTAACAATGTTTGAACAGACCTGACTGCTACGTGAAGAAAGTTTACATCCAACCAAGAGTATGCTAGGTGTACTATATGCTGTTTGAAGTAGCATGTCAGATATTTGTGCTCCGACTTATTCCCTTATATAAGGGGGAAAAACCTGTGGCCTTCCTGATACATCTGAGTTACGATATATCATAGTTTCATGAAGGGCTACAGTTTCAGTTTTCTTTTGGAGAAGCAGGCTTTATCTCAGTATCTCAGATCCAAGCTTCCGTATCAACATTATGGATTTTCAAATTCCTCCTTTTGTCCGGATTTCCCCAAAAAGCATGTGAAGCTTATCTTAAATCACAGGATTCTCTAATAGTGATTAAGTGATAAGTGACTAAGAGGTGGTAGGATATTCCTCTTCCCTTTCCATACAACCCCTTTGTTGGTGATTCCTGGCTAATACATATTATACAGTTAGGTTTAATAGAGAGTAATTTCCTTTTGAATAGTCGTTGGAAGAATGCTTAAAAATAGGTTTTTAACAGAATTCTTTTAAAAAATCCATGCAACTGATTACAATGGCAAAATTCTAAGTGATGAAGGTGGCTTATTCAGTTTGATATATTGCTCTGTTATTATAGAAATATAGAAACTCAGTTTTAACTTCTCTTCTCTTCTCCCAGTCCATGCAGTGACATTATTTCTTAATATTTTTGGATGTCTGGCCTGGTTTTGCCTTCAGCCCAGTCGAGGAGTTGACTTTGGACTGAGCATTCTCTGGTTCTTGCTTTTTACCCCATGTTCATTTGTCTGCTGGTACAGACCACTTTATGGAGCTTTCAGGTAAAAGTATTACCTAATTTGTAATTTGTGCTATTAAAAAGATATATAATTGATTTTTTCAGTTAATTAAAAAAACAAGTAGTCCTCAAATTATGACCACAATTGATCCCAAAATTTCCACTGTTAAGCATGACAGTTGTGAGTTTTGCTCCATTTTACTTTTTGTTAAGTGAATCTGGCTTCTCCCATTGACTTCGCTCATCAAAAGGCTGCAGAAGGTGATTCCATCACCCTGGGACACTGCAACTGTCATAAATATGAGCCAGTTGCCAAGTGTGCAAATTTTGATCACGTGACTATGGGGATGTTGCAGTGATTATAAGTGTGAAAAACAGTCAGAAGTCACTTTTTCAGTGCCACTCCAACTTCAAATAGTCATTAAATGAACGGTTGTAAGTCGAGGATTAGTTGTACTGTATATTGACAAAAATGTAACACTCTCAAATATCATTTAACTCAGGTTTTACAATTTAGTGTCAATATAAACTTTGAATAATATTCAGAGTTGATTTTTTGGTTTCTTTTGTAACATTTGGATGTACAGATAATCCTCAACTTGTAATAATCCTCAACATAATCCTTGTGTTTTCCCCAAATTAAGACCAGGACTTATATTAATTTTTACTCCAAAAGGTATTAGGGCTTATTTTCTGATTAGTCTTATTTTGGGGGAAATATGGTACTAAATGTATCTGCCTGGGTGACAATCTTAACTGGGGCTTATTTTGGGGTGGGGCTTATATTGTGAGCATCCTGAAAAATCATGCTAGGGTAGGGCTTATTTTCTGGTTGGTCTTATTTTGGGGGAAACATATCCATTGTGGTCATACATTATGACATGCGTAAAGCAGATCATCACATGACCAGCCTAATTTTATGACTCTTTTTGTAGTGGTTGTTAAGTGAATCCATTTGATTCATTCCAATTTGAGGAGTGTCTGTATTTGCTTAATCAGCAGTGTACTTTGAAGCGATCCCAAATGCCTTACAACAATGGTAGACTTGGAATAATGCATGAAGTTAATACCATGCAGTTACCAGAAGGTGTCAGTTGGACAGTAGTTGGTCTATCATGCTTCCTCACAGATCATTGTTGAAGAGAACAATTTATCTTTTGAAGTAATTCTGGACTGCAGTATAATAATCTAGTAGAGCAGATAGGGAGAAGCTCTTCAAGACATAAAAGGACCTGTGCAGGACTACTGAGAATCTTAAACTGGTGTACCACTGAATTATATTTTCTCTAAAATGTTATTTTCGTGCATTACTCTGAAATGAAGTAATATTCTACTTTCCTTGGAATGTTAGCTGGGCAAGAAAATGAATTGCTGAATTTGTCTTTGATTCAGTAAAAAAAAATGAGAGATGGAAAAATTGCTAGTGAACATCTTAATGAATAAAATGACAATATAGTGTGAAACATAGTTTCCTGTACTTCTTTTGCAATACTGCTAAGCTTATTTTGTAGTTGCTTTGTTTGCATTTAACTTTCTGGTAGTGTTTATTGTAATTGGTCAGTTTGGTAAGAATGCTTCTGAAAGTTCCTATTTCCAACGGATTTATACAGTCATAAAACAGAATTTATATATGAAAGAGATGTTTGAAGTGTTTTCACTCACTTGTTCTGTTAACCTTATGACAGACTCGCTATTTTGTTTGTCAAGTATTATGAGAATATCTCATTTTTTTCTTTCCTTCTCTTTCAGGAGCGATAGCTCCTTCAGGTTCTTTGTTTTTTTCTTTGTATACATTTGTCAATTTGCTGTGCATGTCCTTCAAGCTGTAGGATTCCAAGGTTGGGGGAACTGGTAAGTGTCCTGTTGTATTATTTTTTGGTAAATTTATGTAGCAACAACAATAGCACTTAGACTTATATGCTACTTCACAGTGCTTTACAGCCCTCTCTAAGCAGTTTACAGAGTCAGCATATTGCCTCCAACAATCTGGGTCCTCATTTTACCAACCTTGGAAGGATGGAAAACTGAGTCAACCTTGAGCTGGTGAGATTTGAACTGCCAAACTGCTGGCAGTCAGCAGAATTAACCTGTTACCACTGCGCCACCACATCTCATGTAGTGAGAACTTAACTTTACTTTATTGTCATTTCGCCTCACACAAGAAATTAAATGCCATCTTCAGTGTACATTATTTATAACTAAAAATAAAACACAAACACACATCCTTCACATTCTATACAATTGAATTGAAAACCCGATATTGCATTAATATTGCACTATTCAGTAGAATTCAATAGAGTTACTGCCCTGGGATAGAAGCTGTTTTTCAGCCTATTTGTCCTTGTTTTTATTATCCTGTACCATCTGCAAGACGGTATTAGGATGAGATGGATCTTTGAGAATGTTTTGAACTTTCTTAAGGCAGCGGGAGCTATAAACTCTTCCAAAGAGGGGAGAGGGCAGCCAATGATCCTCTGGGCAATGACGTTAACCCTCTGGAGTGCTGTCCTATCTGCCACTGTGCAATTGGCAAACCATACACAGGTGCAGTAAATTAAAATACTCTGTTGCAGCAGTAGAAGGTTTTTCATTCAATTGTTGTTTCCTGAGAAGTCTCAGGTAGTATACTCTCTGTGGACCCTTTTGACCAGTGCTGCAATGTGAGTGCCCCAGGTCAGGTCCTCTTTTATGATAATACCCAGAAAGTTAAAACTGGCTACTTGCTCCACTCGGTCTCCATTGATAAGTAAGGGCTGGAGGTCTGATCTGTTCCTTCTAAAGTCCACTAAAAGCTCCTTGGTTTTATTGGTGTTAAGGACCAAGTTATTGTCTCCACATCACAAAGGCAACTATCGGTCTACCGATAGTCAGACTCATCCATCCTGGAGATGAGTTCCACCACTGTTGTATCATTTGCAAATTTAGTAATAGTATTACTAGCGTGAGTGGGAATGAAGTCATGCGCATAAAGAGTATAGGGGCTCAACATACAACCCTGTGGTATACCAGTGTTAAGAATAAGAGCTGAAGAGATGATTACCTAATTTGACCCTCTGAGAGCGGCCAGACAAATCCATTATCCAAAGACAGATTGAATAAGAAAGTCCAAGATCCATAAGTTTAGACACTAGTCTATGTGGACACTAAAATCTACAAAAAGCATCCTCATGTAGCCCCCCTGCTGTTCTAGATGAGTCAGAGCAGTGTGAAGAGTGATGGCTATAGCGTCCTCTGTAGATCTATTTTTTCTGTATGCAAACTGGTGTTTATCAAATGTATGCAGAAGACCAGAAATGATGTGCTGGCAGACCAATTTTTCAAAGCACTTCATGATGATAGGAGTGAGTGCCAGTGGTCTGTAATTGTTGAGGCTTTTTGCGAAGGTATTACAACCCATTTCTTTTTTTAATGTTTTATAAAGTTAAACATCAGGTGTTTGCAATAACGAGGTATTATCGGAGTCAGTAGGCAAGTGCTATTCAGGGCATACCAAGAGATAGAATGGGGGCCAGGCCAGGCCATTGGCTAGTCGCTGCTTACTTGCAAGGAGGATGTCTATTGAAGGAATAACACATGCCCGGTATCCTTGTCGTGTGTTGATACAGGCTTCTCATTTGCCCAGATTATCAGAAATGAAAAAACTGGTAGGGGGTGAGGAAATGCTTTAATTGTATTTTGCATGGAGCCAAGTTCAGAATTAGGTAAACTGTTTTCTCATAGCAGTCAGAGAGAAGCCTTTACTGCGGTTTAAATTGTACCTCCTTGTGCAGAAGTGGGCGACCATTGACCAAATGTTGTTGAAGCACAGTTTCCAACAATCCTAATTCCAGTATGCAGAATTGAGAGTGATAGGAGCTGTGGTTCAACATTTTGAAGGTGACATGTTCTTTTAGGTTACTGATTTCTGCCAGTCCTAATTCAAATTCATTCTGTCTGGATTGCAGTATTTGTTTTATCCTTTTTTTCTTTTTATATATATATATAATTCAGTCCATATATTGTAGATTTGCTGCAGCAAGCTGAATGCTGGAATAATATTTTTAAGTGAAAATGTTGTAGCCTATTATTGGATTAATAAAGGAGAATATGTCTTTATAATTTTATTGTATGTATGGCCAATCTTGGCTTCATTAACATCCTAGGATCTGGGGGAAAAACCCAGATCCATAAGGCCACAAAATTTATTAAAAGCTAAACAGACAAATTGTTTTATAATTTTATAATTTTAAACTACCCAGTTTCTTATGGCATAAAATATGTAATGCAGGTCCATATTTTCAAGCGGTATCTAAATCAGGAAAGGAAAACTTAACTGAGTAGCTGGTGTAATTTAAATAGCAACTTTCAGTATGCTTTCATGAGGTATACTTGCTTAAATGTAATTCTAGTTTTATATAACATAGGCAATTTACAAAATCCAATAAGATGGTAAAAGAATTCAGGACTGCTTTACTGTCCCCCCATTCCTCAAAAAAAAAAAAAAACCAAAAAAAACCCTGAAGTATTTGTGTTTTCAATTCTTTTAGGAGTGGATTTTTAAAATATGTGTTAAAAGCTTCCTTTGTAACCCATAAAGGAAAAATGATATTTTCCTTTAAAACATAGTGGGGGGAAATAGCCATACTTCTTGAAAGAGTGTTCAAGATGTATTTTAGAGCTCTCTGTATTTTCTTTAGTGGATGGATTTCATCTCTTACTGGACTTAACCGGAGTATTCCAGTAGGCATTATGATGATAGTCATAGCAGCACTTTTTACAGCTTCTGCAGTCATCTCATTAATTATGTTTAAAAAGGTAAGTGTTTTTTTCATCTAGAAAAATTGAATTTTTAAAACATATTTTAGTCAATCCAGCTGATTATAGTTGTAAAAATAAATAACTAGACTCAAGTAGGTTGACTAAATTTTTTGATACCATTCATATTTGGTATACCATATTTAGAAATTAAATAAAATAAATTTATTTCATTGTTCAATTTAAAATATCAGTAATAGAGATTGATTTGGAGATTGATTTATTTTGAGATCTCTTGTGAAGAGAACCCATTATGAGCTTACAAATTTTTTCAAAAGATTATACAAAAAAAATTATGTTTGTTCTTTCTTGCAGGATTTCTTTAAAATTCTGCATTTTAATATTTAAAAACCAGATGTGACTCATCCGTTTTAAAACGGTGAACTCTTGCCATAAGCATTTTCCTATCGATCCCCTCTCTGTAGTTCTCCATCATTCTGGCCAGGATTGTGGATTTATTCATTTCCACACGCTTTTATTTACTGTTTCAAAATATGATAAATTGAAAAATATAAACTAATGTTTAATTGAAGAAATAATTGCAGTAGTAACCTACATGTGAGAACAAATAGATATGGAAACAAATAACAGAATAGGATTAAAATATCACACTTCATTCGGAGGAATAAAACCTCTTGGCAATACTCAAAAGTTGAATATTAAATAATAAACTTTCTGAAGAATCTTGAGACCACAAAAACGGACGCCTGAATAAGGTAAGTAATATATATGTCCTGTTTCTTGTTTCAAGTGGACATGCACATATATAGCTGCTATGGTAATTAGCAGTTTACTTAAAATCAGGAAGATAACAGCAGACAACAAAACAAACAAAAACAGTCTCTGAAAATAGCTTGCTTTTAACAGCAGCATGCAAAAAAACTAAATTCAGTCCATGGTTTTAAAAGCCAAATCAGGGTTGTCAGCTAGTCCAGAATTTCTCAAGCAGAGCCCAGTTGAACCTTGTGTAGTGATTCCAATGAACAATAATGGGTCAGATTTGCCTCAGACTTTAGCCAGCTGTCTGTAATCAAGAGTTTTACTCTCTTGCTTGGCAAGGCGCCTCATAGAACAGCTTTGCATTCTACTCACAGGGGGCTGGGGGGCTGGGTGGTCTTAAAGTCATTGTCACTTGACTGCTCTTTCTGTGGTGCTTGTGTTTGATTAACCTCAGGTGATTCTTTGTGACTCCTGGGGCTGAATTCTACAGGTGCTGCTAGAGCCTCTTCCTCAGCATGAGTCCGGGCCCTTAATGATATATATTATATTTATTTTCATGCTTAGAGCTAGTAAACAGAAATCGCCCTCTGATACACCTCAAATAGATTCAGTTTCCATTTTTTTCAACTGTATCATAATGTCAGTGAAATATTGTGTGACCTTTTTATTTGACCACTAGGGGTCATAGTTTATATTTACAACTAGACTTACTTTTGTCATAGATGGGTAGTATCATAGGGCAGAAAAAGAAAAGAAAAAAAAACGTAGTCCTGTGAATTGAAATATTAACAGTATTTTAAATAGCTAAAAAAAGCTTAAAATAAGTTGGATTTAAAAAATTATTAGGGAATATTTTTCTCTTTGCCAAGTACTGACTTCAGGCATTTTTAGCCAGCATGTTTAAGAAACTGCTGGTAACTTAGATTTTTAAAAGAGTTTTATTTGCTTTTAGTCTACTATAATTAATAGTTATTGAGCTAAAACAGCTTTCATAATTCATGGAAAAATACTATTGTAATTTCATTGTATTGCTTTTGCTGCAATTCTAAACTAATTTACTCAGAAGCAAGCCTTATTAAGTCCAGTAAGACTTATTCCCTTGTAAACATATTTAGGATTGAAATCTTAATTGTGATTAAAGTGTGCTATTGAATATTTTTTTACTATTCCTCAACCCATAACTGAAAACTCTTAAAGTTACAGGTTATTAGAAATATTTTTGTGTGGTCTTAAATTTGGCAAGAGGTCCATTCTTCCTCTAAGATACTAAAGAAGTATCGTTTGGCTTTCCTAGCTTATCTCTATGCATATTAAATTATTTGATTTGAATATTTCAAATTATTTCGATCAAAAGATTTCAGTTAAATTTTTCTTCTTGTTTCATGAATTTTTTTCAGGATTTCTCAGATCCATTTGCTCAGCAGGCAGAACTTATTATGCCCATAACCATTTTCTTACTTGCAATCTTCATCCTGTTTAATTTATCATGATGATCTAAAAGAGCCATATAGGATGTTTCTTTGAACCTTAATAACTTCTATCCATGAAAATTGGCGTACATAGAAATCTAATATACTCCTATTCACATATATGTTAAGACATCAGTTTTATTTATTTGGCTACTTAGGATTCATGGTGACTTAAAAGACGCCAGAGACGCTCCGGTGGTTCGAGTCGTACCATCGTGTGACAGACTGAGCTCCCATCATGTGCCTCAGCTCCTGTCAGACTAGCAGTTTGAAAGCATGTAAATGCAAGTAGATAAATAGATACTACTTTGGTGGGAAAGTAGCAACACTCAGTGTTTTGCCACATGCTCTATACTGCGGCTTGATTTCATGCTGATATCATGCTGACCACAAAAGCGTCTTTGGACAGTGCTAGCTTAGAATTAGAGATGAGCACCACCCTCAAAGTTGGCTATCACTAGCAGAATAAAACCCACATGGACTCCTTTACTTTAGTTAGGATGCAATTATATACAGTGGTGTTTATAACAAGTCATTTTGACACCACTGTGTCATATATGCTGTAACATTATTAAGCAAATGATGCAAGTTATTATGCTTTGTAAAAAACAAAACATTGGACAAAGAAGAAACATCAGAGTTTGCAACGTCTGCAAATATTGCAGGACAGCTCCAAGTCCGTGCCATGACTGAAAGTGATGATGTAATTCAGCATTTGCTTTTAATTGGAGACTTAAAACTTTTGATTAAACTCTGTATAATGATTATGTCCTGAATCATGCCTCAAATTTTCTCTTTGGACTTCTTTATAGGTACATGGTTTATACCGAACAACTGGAGCAAGTTTTGAGAAGGCCCAGCAAGAATTTGCAACGGGTGTGATGTCCAACAAAACTGTACAAACTGCTGCAGCAAATGCTGCCTCAACAGCAGCAACCAATGCTGCTCAAAATGCTTTCAAGGGTAATCAAATATAGACAAAAGAGATGAAACACATTACAAATTTCTGGCTGTACTTTATTTTTCAGTCCCTAAAGACTTATGTTAAAAATGCACACAGCATGTATGTCTTTTCAGCTGTGCATGGGCTAAGACAGAAAAAAGATCATTCCATTCTTTTTAGATTTTTTTAATGAGAAGTTCTTCCTAGCTACACTCCTAGCTTATAATAGTTACTTTTTTCTCTCCATATTTTTAGAGGTACATGATATTTGACGAAAATTAGAACAGTAGCTTTAAAATTCATACAGCAAGTTTAGCTTCTGAGATAAGCAAACAATTTTGTTTTTCCATGGTGTGTCGCTCTCCGTGGAACTGTTCCTCCTGACTTGAGACAAGCACTTTGAATTAACCCTGTTCATAACACTTTGCTTCCCTGTTTTCGTAAGAAACAAAAGAAGCTGACAATATTGAACATTAAATTTTGGCTGCTGCTTTGTAGCTCCAGCAGCTGATGAAGGACAGACGTAAGCTTAAAATAAGTATGATAGATGATGTAAATTCTTTTTTTTAGGAGAATAGATTTTTTTAAATAATCTAAGTCTGCATGAAAGAATTTTGACCATGCTGCACTAGTGTTCTGGTCCAGAAATTGTCTATCAGTCCGGTTATAGTATTTGTTAAAATCTGTTTTCATGGTGTATATAGTGTTCTAACTAGATATCTTGGAGCACAGATGTCTTCATCCAAGTAATGCAACATGAAGTGAAAAGAATTATGTTTTAACTGAGCCAGAGTTGTTATATTTGTTCTTTTTGATTTAACCATTCATGATTAGGAAGCACATATTTCTAAACAGAATCTGTTTAGCAATATTTAAAACATTAATGGCTAGTCCAATATGACTTGTGTTAAATTGTAGTGGAATTTATTTTGTGCTTCAGAATTTTGACATTTTTAGGGTGTGCATTTGTGTTTAATGCTATTATATCTTTAGTCTTGTCAGTCACTCTGTTTAGTATTTGTATAAACATCTGAATATTCAATAACTTATTTAAATTTTTAACATTGTAGACACTAATCAGGCTTCCAAATACTGATAATTATGTACTTGAATTCTTTTAACATACTTCAGCCTTCATATGAGATTTAATCTGAATAAGTGCATTTTATTAAATGCAAATTGAAGATACACATTATCATAATTAGTTTAGCGTGGTGCTATATAGCAGCTTTTTGTTATTTTAATTGTTCATATTATTCTAAGACTTAATTGCCTCTTCAGGTTACTTTTCCATTTTGAGTTTCTAAACTCTAGGCGTTAATGTATGACAATTTGAAACATACTATATTTAACATGTTTAGTAGACCCTAGAATCCCAGGTTGTAATGTTTGGAGAGGACCTTAGAGACCGTATTTGATTCAGTATTTCTCTTCAGTATGACTGGGAATTCTATAGCATCCTAACAAATGGGTTCGTGGTTGGATTCAAATTTTTTTTTACTACCGGTTCTGTGGGCGTGGCTTGGTGGGCGTGGCATGGCTCGGTGGGTGTGGCTTGGTAGGCGTGGCAGGGGAAGGAACTGCAAAATCTCCATTCCTTCCGCACTCCAGGGGAAGGGTACTGCAAAATCTCCATTCCCTCCTCACTACTGGGAAAAGGTTACTGCAAAATCCTATTCTCTCCCCACCCCACCCCACTAACCTGTTTTCCATCTCTGTTGTCCTGTGCAGGGCAACAAAAGAAGATCCAGCCAATCAACTGGGACTCGGGAGGCAGAGAATAGATGGGGGCGGGGCCAGTCAGCGGTGGTATTTGCTGGTTTCCGAAATACTTAAAATTTCCGCTATCTTCTCCAGAACTGGTCAGAACGTGCTGAATACCACCTCTGAAATGGGTATCCTGGCTCTGAATATACAGGGGAGAGTCCACCCATGGCAGTCTTGTTCCGTTGTTGAATAGTTTTTGCTCTTTTCTTTGATGTCTGACTGGACTTTGCTTTCTTGTAATCTGTATCCATTATTGTCTTTTGGAACAACTCTAATCAATCGTAGCCTGTTTTCTACAAGACAGCCCTTCAGATACTTGAACACAAATATCATGTCTTTTCTCCAGCCTTAATCTTGTGATCTACCAAAATACCCACATGCAGTATATACTCACATGTAAGCCCACCCAGAAATAAGCTAATTGTAATTTTTAACCAAAATATCAAGAAAAAATGTGCTACCTAAGGATAGGCTGACCCACATTTTTCATGGCGTTTTAGTCAAAAAATCCCAAGGTCGGCTTTGGCATGGATGGCTTATGTATGAGTGTATATGGAGATATATGGGCTCACAGATTAGCTCATCCACAGATAAGCCAAAACCAATTTGGGATGTATATTGGTACGTAAAATTCTTGGCTTGTCCACAGGTATATGTTTGTTTTCACATATACTGCCCAGTATTGCATCCCCATTCCTATCTTTCATAATTTTTCTAAACAATCATAGGATTTTGTCTCAGTTACTCAGTTTAATGGCTTTACTCATTGCTCTAGCCTAGTCAAGGTCTTGCTGAATCTTGGTACTGTTTTCCAAGATGTGCATTATTCCACTCATTGTTTGCACAAGTTATCATTGTAGCTTCATGTTATCATCTTGCCCTTTATATAAGTCATCTATAAATACGTTGAACATCACAGAACCCAAAAAAGTATAGGAACTTCCACTCAGCACTTCCAGTTTGACACAGACATTGGGTATGATTGTTCAGTGACCTTTGTATCTATAGCTAGCATAGGTGAACTTTGCCATCTGTACTAGAATGTAATGGGACACTTTCTTGAATGCTTTCCTAAAGGCATGATGTGTTGTGTGCAAGTAAATTGACCATTGTCAGAAAGAGGCACTGGGTTAGATTGGCATGATTTATTATTTATAAATCCATGCTGGTCCCTGCCCAGCAATGTACCTTTCCTAAATGTTCACAGAATGTTCATAAACCCATTGCTTAATTATTGTAGAATGTTCCCAGTACGGACATCAAGCTGACGAGACATTTTTGTGGGCGTGTGGAGACAGGAATATTTAGAAGAGAATGTTTGTATCTAATAGGGGGCACAATGGCTCAGCATCTAAAGGCGCAGCTTGTCAACTTGAAAGCTTGTCAGCTGAGTGCCATGCATGACAGTGCGAGCTCCCATTCCTTGCCCCAGCTCCTGCCTGCCTAGCAGTTTGAAAGCATTCAAATATGAATAGGTTAATAGCAGGGGTGGGATTCTACCAGTTTGCATCTATTCGCTAGAACCGGTTGTTAACATTCTTATCAGTTCGGGGAACCGGTTGTTAGAAGAAATTACTGGCCTAATCCTGTAAGGAAGGCAGGAAGGAAACATTCTGGTGTTGCTTACAGAAACTGCCTCTCCGTTAACCCTTATTACATTCTTGACAGGACTAGACTTCCTGTCTCAGGAATGTCTCTGGAGTTTTTTTCCCCTCCTTTGCTGGTACTTTGCTTGTGTGGAGTGACCATTCAAAGTTATAATGGCACTGAAAAAAGTGACTTATGACATTTTTCACGCTTACAACTGTTGCAGCATCCCCACAGTCACAAGAGGCCAGGCGAGGAGATGCGTGCCTCAGTGTGAGTGATGTTGAGTTGGCCGTGCGCAGCCAATAACATGACCACCAAGCCATGTTCACCCAGTCACATGACCACCAAACCACGCCCACCAACTAAGCCACGCCCACAGAACCAGTTGTTAAAAATTTGAATCCCACCCCTGGTTAATAGATACCACTCCAGTGGGAAAGTAGCAGTGTTTGATGCATATAGCCATACCACACGACCAGAAACAGATGAGCACTGCCCTAGAGTTAGACATGACTGGGACAGGGGAAACTTTTATGTTTGGTATCTCAGAGTTGAACTGTGGTGTCCTTAGTGCTCTCTGAAGTTCGTTGTTTCCTTACGGACATTTAATCACAAAACTAGTTTACATCCTCAGTGCTAGAAGGAAATGGGGTTTCCTCACTAGCAGTCAATACCCATATGAGCCAGAGATTAACACTAAACTAGCTATCAAGAAATAAAATACTCCAATCAAGGAATCACCAGTGAAGACAGATTAACAATAAAAAACACCCTAATCAAGAAATCACCAAGCCCACTCACACCAGCACTGACAGGTAGTATATAAAATGAGAGCAAATCCTACTCCCTACTGGCACTGATGATGTTATCTAGTCTGGTAATGAATGTCTGCAAGAAAATCATGAAGCTCAGAGAGCACGAAGGACCCCACATGAATATTTGCCCTTCTCTAGCACTGTGGTTCCATGCACAACATCCATGATTTCTTAAGGGCTCCTAGATGACATTTTCAGGCTCCTTCAGGACTCTTGAATGTAATTGGTTACACTCTGGTTACACTCTGGATCCATTCTTGGAAGCCAAGTGCTTCCTAGCCTTTTAATTATCTTGGATTACTATTCCCTTTTGTTAGTAGTTCTTTTTAGGTCCCTTTGTATATATAGTTTCTCTTTGGGAAGAAGGCTGAATAGAAGTTCAGCAGCTCTGCTATCTCCCCTTCAATTGTACTATCTTTTCACAGGGTTTCCTCTAACTCCTTTTTCTTTTTTCTTTTTTACTATTGCAACAGGAATAACGATTACTATTACTGAAAGTAAGACGTACTCGAAAATTTACTATATAGGAATTAAATTCTGTGTGAACAGTTTTAATCTAAAGATGTGAAATTCCTTTCTTTACTTTTACATACTTACTAATGTTTATATCCTGTCCATCTCCAGAGACTTCAGAACTCTACAGAAATTTATAGAATTATTGAAGTAGAGGTTTTATTTCATTTTCATGTATTTATTTCAATCCTTGATTCCACAAACCTAACACATTAATTGCTAGTCATTTAAATCTTATTGAGGAAACTGTGTTCACACTTACTAAAGAATCTAATTTTTCTCAGGGGATAAAGCAGATTGAAACTTGAAATACATAAATATGGGCCTAATTTGCAGTAGGTCTGGTAGTCATGTTAGTTCCAGCAGGTAGAACACATGTTGATTGTAATGTCCATTTTCATTCTTATAAACCATAATAAAGAAAATGGACACATATGGACACATAATAAAATTATTCTTCAGGATTAAATCAAAAGTAATGGAGTGAATATACATATTCACAATTTCTTATTTTTCGCTATGGCAGAAGGCTGTTGTATGTTAAATATTTAACAAACGAATGCTATCAAAGTCTGTTGGTGAACAAATCTACACCTATTACACTAATTTTGTAAACACCCAGTTGTAACAGTTTTTAGATCATACTAGAATGTCAATAGTTTGTCGTTTCTAATTTTGGCATTGGAGATATTTAGATGAGGAAAGTCTGTATATTTTGTAAATTACTAGTGATGCTTTGCCATCCTTGTGAATGTGAGAATTCTGTATAAGTGCACACAGATTCTGTGATGCTGCATGTTTGGGTAGTTCTGCATATTTATTATATTATTTCAGTGACATAGAATAAAATGTTTCCTGATTGATTTGCTCTGTATAGTTTAAAAAATAAAGTAGGATCTTTTGTAAAATGCAAGATAAAATACCGAAAGGTTAATATGTATAGAGTACACCAGGTTTTTGTCCCAGTTCAGCTCTAGTCCTGTGTAAGTTACCTGGAGGCAGAATTTGGATAAGGATTTATTTGGAGCATTGTGATGTGGATCAACATCAGTAGCATTCCACATTTTTATTCTGGCATTATTGGTCACATGTAACTGTGCACAACTAGTGCTGGATCAGGGAATTTGTTTTTTGTTTTTGTTTTGTATTATGTATATAAATTCTAGTCTGCAACCATGGCAAAACTATGTCTGTTTGCAGGACAACTCATTGAAAGAACAATCAATGGTGGGCTTGGTTTTCAAGGAAATAGTCAATTGTGTTTTATTTCTGTGATGTAAATGGGAAATCTAAAAAGAAAAATATTGAAATTTATGCAATTGATAGGTGTTATTAGAGGAAGTCTTGGAAGTAAAATGGAATCTTTGAAAATGTATACTATTTCCTAGTATTTGTTTTGAATGGAGGAGTGTTGAATGTTATTTTTGTTACACTTGTGATTAGCCACTTTATTGTTAGTCTTTTGTATAGCAGTGAAGTTACTTATAATGGCCACAATATAGAGCCTATCACTTGCTCTTTAATACATCACTGGAGTCTTTTTCTTTTGTTTTCCCTTCTCAAAGGCTATCTTCTGAGCCATGTAGGAAAGAAAATGTCATCAGATAATTCATCTTTTTAAGTATCTAAAAGTCCTCTTCACTGTGGAAAACCACTTTTTTTTTTAAATTGGGTGGATGACCGATACTTGTAACCAAACTTTATATTTGTCTGTTACAATACCAATAAGAACATTCTCACAACATTATAACCACATGTCATTATCAATGAAGGATATGCAGTTGGGTTGATTGATGATAAGTATTTACATGGCAAGAATCAGGAAACTATCCAGAACTAATGTTCTAGTAGAAGACATTTATTTATCTTTTGAGGTATATTTTTACTTGATAATACTATGAACGTTAAAATAGCTGTAGTAGGACAATGATGATGAAATGATTATTCTGTACTTAATCTGTCAGTGCAGGAAAACAAACCAAGTTTGGCCATTTCCACAAAACACTTAACAGTTAATTATCCATTGGGTTATAGAAATGGTTCATTAGCATGTACGTCATTGGAAAAGGCAAATAAATGAACTATAGTCCATAAAAGCTTATGCAGTAATAAAACTTAACCATTAAGGTGCCATTAGACTTTTCTTCCTATAAGCAATTAGTGTTTCCCCTAGAAACAAGATTGTTGATCTGTTTACAGTTGGAGTAAACTCTGCACATCAGTAACGGCAGATGAATTTCCTTTTCATTGCTTGTTTCATAAATTTGTAGCTACCAATTATACATGGCCAATAAGGAGGCAATGCAAAACACTCCATTTTGTGATTTTTTTTTTTTAAAGCAAGTATTTATAGCTTGCAAAGTGACATTAAAAATGTAAAATTTAATTTTCAGTACAGTACATTGAGAAGATGCTCCTAGGCTGTCATAATACTGAAAGTGTCTTTCAAGGTTTTTAGAATAGTTCTAAATAGTTTGTTTCATTTTCAGCATTCAGTGAAAACTTTTTAACGTGCTTTATTAGAATAAATGTATTTTGTGTGTTCCTGATTATCAAAATGCAATGGAAATTATTTAATTATTCACTTATTGGCTTCTCTTCCATGTAATAATTGACCATAAACTTCCTGTATTGATGCAGAGTTTGCATTTCACAGGAAATCATAGAAAACTTGATGTAAGAAGTAAAAGTATTTTAGGAAGCAGGATTCCAAGGGTGTATAAGATTATTTCATAGTAGTAATTATCTTCATGTGAAAACTGCATCATAAAAGGAATAATGAGGTATATTCGTTGGTCATTTGTATATAATTTATGAAAAGAAAGTTTAGAGAACTGGTAAAGTCATTCCACAATTTTTCTGAACTTTTGTCTTTTCCAGCATGTAGCATTTGAAAAGAAATGAATCTGTTATAAAGTTATTTATCCAATTTTTTGATAGAGAGTTGTAAACTTTTATGAAATTTATGCTGTCCAGCTGTTTCGATTTGATTCTAACAGATCATCATGGGTTGTATTTTCCCGCAAAACCAACCTTCTAAAGAATTCTGGCTTAGCATGACCAAGTAGCATGGCAAGTGATCTTCCTGATGATATGCTGGAGATGGTGTATGTACCAGATGCCAGAGAAAGAAAGTGACTGAACAAAGAATTGCCTGATTGTTGGCTTCAAATGGCTACTTGTTTGGAAGAAAGAAATCTAGTATCTTTGTTAGCTCATCATATATCATGAAAGAACCTTTTGTGGACCAAGTCTGGCATAGTGCAAATACAACCGTTTCTTTTTGTACTCAGAAAGTAAAAATTTAATTTGCCCTTTTTTTTAACAGATTGCCTGGTTTAGGCACCTTTCAGAACACTGTATTACTACCGTACTAATGTAACAAAATCAGAAATAAATTGACACAAACCTTCAGGTGTTAATCATAGTTTATTAGACAAAGAATTACTAATATTGTAGAAAATTAAATTAGCAATGCAGCCCAACAGCACACTGTAGCTCATCAAGTGACTTTACTGTTCTCTTTAATCAATTCATGAGTTTCTAGATATGTGAATACCTTTCACATTGAGACAATATACTATAAATTAGTAAGCTTGGAATAACCAGATTTCAAAAGATTTGGAAATCTCTTATTACAATACAGTAAAGTTTTGATTTAACAGACCTGAGTGCAATAGACATCAGATGCTATGGATAAAATTCCCATTATATACCTATGTTGCTTTTATATCATTTGCTTAATAAGGTTACACAAATGATATGCTATAATGAAAAATATATGCATTGTATATTTTTGCATAATGTCACCACAGATTATATACTCTGATTTAATGGACAATTAGGAATAAAAGATATCCCTTCCCCCCAGTTGAACTGTTAAATCAAGGTTTCACTGTATTTTTAACATCCTTTTTCTCCTCTCACAGAAATATTCTATAGTAATGGTTAAATAATATTGCAGTGGCTTTCCTTTTCCACAAAGATATGCCATTCTGGACTCTTTCGAATCAGTTTTAAAGTCCTTCCTGCATATTATACACATAATTTGAATTTATTATCTGAAAATTGCAATGGAAAATAACACAATAAATGTTATAAAATCATTTATCCACAGTGTTTTATTTTGAGCTGTCTGAACACAGGTTTAATCACCAACCATTTCTTGATTTAAAGTAATATGAATTAAAAAGAAGTAATATGTGCCATTGTGTGACATTAATATAGTATTCTGTAAAATATATTTAATTTAAAAAGAAAGAAATACTGAAAAGATTTATTAAACCATACATTTTTGCTTGTTGGGAACATAGTGGCCTAATTATTCAAATGCAGAAAATATGTAGGATATTGCATATAAGCCTGAAGTTGTGATACTGAATATTCAACTGATAAAATTGTGCCATATATTTTCCCAGAAATATCACTCCCAATTTACAGACTCTGCAGTAATACAAAAACATTATTACTCCAGCTATCAGAAATACAATACCATACTGTAGATCTTGCACACGCTATATCAGTTATTGTAGAGCTACTGTATCTGAACTATAAAAATCTGGAAGGTCGTGGAAATTGTAAGTTTTCTGCATCTATCATCTGTGGTTGTCTTTATAGCTCCAACCTGGTAGCCCTATTTGTTCCAATGTTTATGCATAAGATTTCATTGGCTAAAGTTTCAATTAAAAATAAGAGTTATCAAACATGTATAGGATCTATGGTAACTGCATCAGATGGAAATGGTGTTGTGGTTAAAATGTTAAGTACTGTAAAGTAATGGCAGAATTAGGAAAAAAAATATCCAGCATATCTGCTAGGGCCTATGTTACCTAGTCTGCATGCATCCCTGTTTAGTATATTTTCAAGCTTGTTTTTAAAGTAAACAAGCTATTATACTTCATTTTGCTGTGAATTACAACTGCTAGTATCCTTCTCAAAAAGGAGGTCAATGCTAGGAGTTGCGATTCTCCAACATTAAGAGTTCTGCAAGCTGCAGAACTTTTGCAGAGGAAATTTCATTAAGATTATAACAAATATAATTTGCTAAATTTCAAAAAAAGAGTAAAGTTAATGCATTGGGATTAGAAAAAGTGAATTTTCCTTACTTACCTCTATCCCCCTGCCCACCTATCTTCTGCTTACTTCTACCTGGTGTCCCTTCCTTTTTATTCCTGCCTCATAACACCAGGTACCCTGAAACTCAGAGGCTTCAGGGAGGCTGACGATTAAAGACACAGAAGTGTGCAGTAAACTATTAGCAATCCCATCTTTTTATATAACTATAAAGATCTTTCTAATGAAATAAGGGTTCACTTTTATTGTAATGTTTTCCTAATAAAATAGATTACAATGTATTGGGGTATTATCACTCAACAAAAACAATAGGTTTGGATCTGAAAAAGTGACACATTTGGTTGACGTAAGTAATCAAATGAGATTAAATTCTGAAAAGATATCTTACAGATAGATAATGCATATATCCCATAGACATCACCCTATATTATTTCCCCTTATACAATACTGGATGCCTGTATAAAATAATGTTTGCTTGTATGAAGCCTGCTCTCTTCTGTTGAAACGTATTTTTATTTAAATTTGCTGAACAATCAATGAATATACTTGAGTGATTTTTAATCAATTGTTGGAGAACTAGAATGCATTGTATGAAATCAGTATACCAATTTTGCAACTGTATTGGAAATGCTTGAAGAGAAGTATGCAGAATAATGTTTTGTTGGGATTAGTACCTTTTCTTTAAAAAAAATGTTTGGGTATAATATGAAGTTATCACTTCTGCTATTGTCTTATAAAAGCTGTTTGTTCAAAATATCTGATAGATTTTCTTTGATGCCAATTCAAAGAAGGAAGAAGAGAATTTTGTTCCAGATTTTAATTTTTAAAACGTGCTATGAAACTGCTGAACTGTTTCAAACTTTTCTATTCAAAAATCATCTTGAGATTGTGCAAAAGCAAAATAGAAAGGCAATGGGGATGAAAAATGTAAAAAATATTTTCATATCAGGAGGCCAATATTTATTCTTCTTTAACTGCTATTCTCAACTAATTTCCAAAATGCCTTTTCAGAATGTAGAATTTTAAAACACTGAAGAGCTGGTTATGCATTTTTAATTAAGAGAGCCTGGTTGCCAATGATGTGCATATTTAGACAGAAGTATTCGTACACTTGATCATAGTCACTCTGCAGATACAGATAGTCCTTGACTAATGACCATACATTTTGTGGCTGTTCAAAATTATGGCAGCACTGGACAAGGAGACTTGCTACCTTAACAGTTGTGGCTGTGGCAGTATCCATGAGGTCACATTTTTTATTTAGGCACTTGTCACCCACCTTTGGCTGCAGAGTCCCACGGTCATATGGTTGCCATTTGTGACCCTCATTACCAGCTTCCAACAAGCAGAGTCAACAGAGAAGCCTGCAGGAGGTGGCAAATGGCCATCACATGACATTGTGCTTAACTCTGCAGGATTTGCGTATTGATGACAACTGGAACTGTTACAATTACAGTTGTAGAATGGTGTGGTCATGTGTCATTTATGGCCACATTACTTAATGACAGGAGTTGCCAATCCCAATGATCATAGTTAAACAAGGACTGCCCAGGTAACAATGTGTGGGGGCAGTATCAAATTAAATTTTACTCTATAAAACAATGCTACATTTGTACTTCTAAATGTACAGTATGTATGTGAACATACATATCTTTTAAATATATCTTTAATGACACTAAAAAGTACTCTAATTTGAAATTTTTGATTCTAGTCCAATCTTAGTAATTAATTTCTACAACACAAAAATGTTACAGTACCAAAGAGAAAATAAATTGCATATTACTCCAGCATAGATATTTCTTGTGCTCCAAGTGGAATTTTATACTAGAACTTCAAGCAAAATTTTACTAGTTAACTCCAGCCCAGCCACCAACCCTGTTTTGGATTGCTGATGAGTGAGGATTTCTCAAGCACCTGGTCGTAAAAAGTATCAAGCCATAATTTGGCTTATATCTATTATTTTACACTTGAAACTAGGAAAGTTAATCTGCCAGATTTCCAGAATAGGTAAGGGGTTTTTTTGGACCCCATTCTGGGTCCATGCTTATTACCATACTTTATAATCAGATTGCAGATCAGTCTGCATAATTCCTTAGTAAACTTCAGTATTCACTGTTTTAAATGTGGACAGTTCAGCCTCCTTTTCATGGTTCTATTGTGAAAGCAACATGTTCTGAACAAGTGGTATTATGACAGCAATTCTGCAAAAGCAATTTGGGTTCGATTAAGCCCCCATGAACAGTGTTGGTGCTCACTGAGTTAACAACATTGTAAAATGTGCATGTACACAGTTAATTCACAAATGGCTCTTTGGAATATTTATAGCAGTGGTTAAAGAAGTGGCTATTCACAAAAATCCTGAGTTAGACAGTACAGTACATTCCTCTTCGCTGGAGATTCAAAATTTAATTTTAGAAGATGTGCTAGAAATAAGTTACTATTCAGAATCTGATGTGTTATTTCATCCTGGCAACTTAAACTACAATGTATTATTTCTGTCTATCAAAAGATACATTAAATATCAATGTTAATAAGGCTAATCTAAAAATTGAGGATCTGGACATTAGGCATTAGTTCTCCCATCATTTCTTTTTCTACAGCCATCACTGCAGTGTAGTACATTACGTTCTCGGAACATTTTTACATATTTGACGAATGCAAAAGGCTCATTTTTTTGAAAAAATCAATCAATACACTTATAGATGCAACTAAAAAGTCCCAAAAGCATTGAGTAACATATGGTCACAGTTTAGGCATGTGGTATCTGTTGTTAGATGAGCACAATGGCCATTTGTGCTTGAAATGGACTCAAAGGCAATGGTGGGACTTGGAAAGGACCAGCAATGATCTTGGTTACAACTGGACCAATAGTAGAGGATGCCTATATTTGTCTTCTTTTGAAGACAAATCTCGAGTTCAGTATTAGATATACAAGAGTCTAAATTTTCCCCATAGATATACATATCTACCCAGATTAATTAACCAAATAATGGAACTATCTGTGTAATGAAAATAAAAGTAATTTAGCTTATGTTCTCACAGCTACCCTCGTAAATTATCATAGTTCCGTGCCTCAGGTGTGCATTGAGCAATGCTTTTAAAATATTGCTTAAAGGAAATTGTATTCCCTAGTTTCAACTGGAAGTCTTGCTTCTTTATTAAGACATATTCTTTCCACGCGCCACTGCATACAACCCAGAATACTATGTGTTTTTAATATTCATAACCTGCTTTCTGAAAAGATGCTACGGAGTAACTTAATAGTGTAGTGCTTTCCATTTTGACACTGGAGCCTGTCTTAAAATGTATGCACTGAAAACAACCTGACGTTATTGTTCAAAAATTCCTTCATAATAATTCATCTTGGTGAAGACAAAATAGAAATAATTGTTTCCAGAATAATTGGAAAGCCAACAGGTTTGCTTTGTGGCATTCTTTCATATCCATGTGTCAGAATTCTTACTTCACATTTTTTAATACTGTCTGTAGACTTCAGTGCCTTTCAACCTTCTATGTTGTTGGACTATTGGAACACTTACATGTCTTCATTCTTCCTATAAGAGTCCAAGTAGCTACTTCAAATCCATTATTTTTGAGATAAGAAAAAAAAATGGGGGGAGAAGAGTATGTTATAGGAGGCAAATCAGGCTTTTTCCTTCTTCAATTTCCTCTTGGACTTTGTCGCTGGAGGTGGCGATTTCGGCTTGGGCAGAGAAGACTGCGCAGATGAATGTCAGGACTGTGCCACCAATAGCAGTGTAGAAAGCCCAGCCTAAAGAACAGTCACCAAGTTTATAAGCTGAAGCATAAGGTCCACAATAGCTTATTGCCTTCTGACAACCCCAACCAGCAGGGTATAAGATCAACCCTAGGATAAGGAATAGTCCTATTTGAAAGAAAGAAAATAAATAAGTTAGACAAAAGTGCAGTAAAGTTAGGCACAAAACTAATTTTCATAGAAATGTACATTCTGATACAAGCTGAAATTTCTGATGGCTGCTGCTGAATGTTATGACTTGGCCTGTAATCAATAAACTGGTGGACCATATTTTTGTCTACACTGTAATTGCCGAATTCATGGTGATGAATATGAGTGGAACAGTTTAGCAAAGGGAAAGATGTTGCTATAATGAAGGCTGAATTCAGAACTTGGGAATTTAGGAAAGAAAACATCAATTTAAAAGCTCATTCGGACATAGAAAGCTCAGTCAGTTTTGAGTACTATATTTTTGTTGACATCTAGTGGTCACCTGGATTTTTGCTGCCTAAAATGCTAACCCTAGCTAAAGTTATTTCACTCTGGGAGAAATGGTCTGTTGAGACCCTCTTCATTTGTTCTATGTGAACAGTGCAATGCATGCATCAAGGATGATTCACCAACTGTGTGACCTCGTGTGAGCAGGCCCTACCTGCTGTGCATTACAACAGCCCAACTTTTTTCAATCCTGTGTGACCCAGGAAAAAAAAGATGCTTCTGCCTTAAGGACCACAATGTCTTTAATGAATGGACTCTTTAGTGGCATTTCTTTATGTGTGTTCTTGAAGCAATTCTTCCAGGCCATTCTCAATGTATCCACAGTTCTACAAACTAATTCAAAATTCACAGTGTGGATTTTAATACTATGCCTAACTACAGTATTAAAGGTACATTTTGCTTTCTAAAAGTCTGACATTTTCATCAAGTTCAAATCTAAGAACTTAAACCAAAAGCTAATTCCTAATTTAAAACGAAAGTCCATATGTTCTTCCAGTATATATAGCATCAGCCACCTAGGAGAATAAGACAAAACATTTAAAAGCCATGGATTACTTGTAACTTCTTGTGTTATTGCTTACTGGAATCCATAGATGACTATGACTCTTATCTTAACTGTAGCACTTTCTCTATGGAATTTGGGAATTGGGTAGCATTTCCTGTTGGAATGCCTGAGCCAATTGACATAAAATATTGCTTAAGGTCAGGCAGACGGATAAATTGAGCTTTCATCCTACTGAGCCCACCAACTCTGGCAGACTAAACACCCCAAATCCCCTTCTTGATATCACAAGTTCTTTTGTCAACGAGACCTGCGGCATAATTCTTTTGACTGGAGGTTCTACTGTTTCTACAGCCTCAAAGGCAGTTTGAAAATTACTGTATTTTGTCCAAAGTGTCCAAATTAAATTTTAGACATTTCCTTTAAAAATAAATGTAGTTTATTTGTGCAAACATGATTTCATATATTGCAAAAAAAAAAAGCATAATGAAATTTCCATAGCGGAGAGCTTGACTTTATATTGATTTGTATTATGGCTTTCCTGAAAGGATTGGTTGCTGGAACTGAATTTTGTTGCTCTCCCTCCCATTTTTCTGTACAGAAGAAACAATTATTAACCCTACATTGGTTCTGGCATGTTGCTGAGTTGCTTGTGGTGACTGGCAGCACTGGATCTCTGCAATACAGGGTTTATTAGTTGTGGGAATAGCAAACAATCATTTATGACTATCCTGTTTGTTATCCAGAAGAATCAAGATTTGTTTTTAAAGGGAAATAAGATAGGCATGAAATTCTCCGCCACAGGCCACTTCTGATACATGGACTGGGAGTCCCTGCTGTAAAGGGTTTGGCTAGTGGCTAACTTATATACCACTTCACAGTGCTTTACAGCCCGCTCTAAGTGGTTTACAGAGTCAGCCTATTGCCCCCAACAATCTGGGTCCTCCAAAGGGTGGAAGGCTGAGTCAACCTTGAGCCAGTCAGGATTGAACTCCTGGAGTGAGCAGTGAGTTAGCCTGCAGTACTGCATTCTAACAATTGTGCCACCACTGCTCCATTTGCATAGGTGACAAGCATGCAGGTGAAAATATCCCCTTGGTTAGTTATGGGAGGACTCCAGTTTTTCTGAACTGCTCCCTTTTATTTTCAATGAAATTTTTCTGAATTTTTCTCTCTACTTCAATAGAGAGCACAAGCATGTCACTCCCTCCGCCTGTATAAACTCTGTATGCAAATACACTTGGATTTCACTTTTTTTTCCATCATGGAGAGAGATAACCATACAAGGTTTAAAAAATTGTCCTTATCAGCACTGATAATTCACTTCTTCCTTAGTAGTTTCAGGAAGCAAGGAAACTTTAAAGAATGTAAACTGAAAAAAAACGCCCTGGCAATGGAGAAAAAAATACAATGAATTGCACTGCAAAGACTATGAATTGTATATTGTTTGCCGAAATTAAGCATAGCTATCTGAAAAAGCTGCACAAACATTTTTATACATAAGCTGAAAGTAATTTTTACCAATGACAATCATGATTATTAATTCTATTAAAATGCCAACATTTTTCAGAGCTCCAATATACTAAAAAAAGAGCAGCCTCTTGGCAACATATGGGAACAGCACAATAATTCTTACAAAATGTTTATTCTGAATTGATTGCTGGCTCATACTGGGACTTGGTCTTCATGCAGTACAATTAAGCATTTTCCTTCCTAAAATGGTAGCTGAAGGGAAGGATAGTGCAGAAGTGATGGCCATAAATCCTTCAGCCTTGTGCAAGTCCAGGCAACTGTCTCTGACAATACTTTGGTCAACTATTTTGTAACAGCTGAAATCTGTATTGTTAAATGAGGTTATATGATATTCAGGATATTTCCATTTCCATGTTGCATTTTGGCAATCTATTGCTCTAAATTAAAATGTACTGGACTTATATAAAGCTGAAGTACCAATATCTTTTTGAGACTGTTATATTTGGTTTCAGTTATCATTAATTTAGCATTTTATCTCTGTGGTACAGGTTTAGTGATTTACCTTTATTGAATTATCTAATAATTATTGAAGAACAAAGGAACCTTCATTAAATAGGTTAAGCAGTAACAGCTATTCCCACACAGTACCGTTCTAAAAACAACCATGCACTAAGTTTGAGCAACGCCAGAACAGCAGTTTTGCCCTGATGTAAAACAGATCCTCTGGCCTGATATGGAAGCAGCCTCTTCAAAGCACAGTTACCCAGCTGTTTGTTTGGCTAAGCAGAAACATACGCTTTAGTTTTGACAGTTGTTTGTATGGTGGTTGCTCTGCCATATTAAGGGGTGAAGTACTGCAAGGCACACTTAGTTCCATTTCGAAAATGACCCTCTCCCAATTTCTGTCAAAATTCAGGGAGTGTTTGCTTGCTAAAAGGTCCCAGGAAAATCCACAGGAGCTAAATGTGATCAAAAGGGAATTAATGCTACATCTGTCAAAGGCATATGTGATGCTGTTTAATTTAAATTAAAAAACACTACAAGTAATTCCCATGACCTTAAAAGTCACAAGGCCCTTCGTATATCAGACATTACTCTTCCAGGTAGAAAGCTGCTAGCTCTTACTATCACAATGCACCATGCGTCTTTCCCATCATTCTTCTCTTGACTCTTGTGAGAAGAAGAAAGATGGAAAAAACCATGGAAACATTTTGCAAAGGTAGGGACATCTGGATACCCCATAACTTCTGTATAGAAAGCAAGGCTACTTGGTGAAGAAATATTTTTTTAATGTTAAGCCTACTGAAATATAAACCCCTTAAGACTGTTCCTGTCTACAAAAATGTACAGGTTATATCTGTATAATGTGTTAAAAATCACTCTGGATAGCTAATGTAGGCTTAATGTTGGGAGATTATCAATAATTGTTTTAAGGATATGCTAGGAATGACACTGAATCTTCAACATCCAAAATTTTATTATTACCACTCCCAGAATAGAGGGGAAATCCCACAAGCTCTGGACTTGGTGTTAGTTAATGTATTTTTTGCTCCATAAGACACTCCAAACCACAAGATGCACCTAACTTTTGAGGAGGAAAACAAGAAAACAAAAAATCTGCTTCTGCCTCCCAGCCCCAGCATATGGCTTGTCAGGGCTCCGTTCCTCCGCTTGTTTGTTCTTGAAGCTCTTGAAGCCACAGAAGAAATTTCCTGTAGGTGAGGCTGTCCCCACAATGGATTTTTTTTCCCGGGATTCCTGTTGTTGCCGCTGCCTCTCGCCACCATCTATTGCTGCCACTCACTGCTGCTGCCACTCACCGATGACTTTCGGCGGTTGGTTCACACTCCCAGAGTACCGCTGAGCAGCTGTTCCAGGAAGCAGGGATCACTACCACCATTCACCGCTTTGACCATTTGCCATGAGAATGGCGGTGGTGATCCCCAATGCTTGAACAGCTGATCGGTGGTATTCCGGGAGGTTGATCTAACTGCCGATAGGCAGCAGTGGGGACAGGCTGTTCTTCGCTGCTGCCTGTCGTTGCCGCACCAACCCCTTCTTCTGTCAACACAGCCGGGTCTGTGATGCAATATTCACTCCATAAGACGCACAGACATTTCCACCCACTTTGGGGGGACAAAAAAGTGCATCTTATGGAGCAAAAAAATATGGTATTTCCTTCCTAGTGGAATTAATAGAATTATAGTGCATTTCCTATGTCTCCTACATTGCATTAAATTCATCAAGGGTTCCTCTTAGAGAAGCAAGCATACAGTAAGACTAATGATTAAATTTAAAAAATGCTATTCCATGGCCCCTTGCGTGCTTGCAGGACAAACTCTCAAGACCAACAGGATTGATAACTCAGTAAAATTCATTGGTTAAAAACAGATGGCTATCTTCATCAATTTTAAGGCAAAATGACAACAAATCCAACTTACTAATGCATCCAATTAATCTTTGTTCAATTTTTGGTTAACCTACATTCTGCATAAGACTGCATGCCAATTTAGTTCTGATATAATTAATATGGAGGGTACCATATAAGAGAAACCTGGTTTAATGTTTATGACACAAATCAAGAAATATTTTTTGCATGTTTAATTATTAAATAATAATATACTATTTCTGAATGCTATATTAGAGGTTGCGACAG